ATGGGTAATGTTGGACATGTTATGCCGACTCCATGAGATACAGGGTACAGGGAAGGGAGCAGCAGCACACAGCCTGTGATTGACAGCTTTAGCTGTGCATATTTCTCTATGAGACTGTGTAGAGGGGCCTGTATCTATTTCCTCCACTGAGGTCTCAGATTACACTCAGCTCCCTGCTCTATGTGGTGCAGTGTGTGATATCAGAATCCTGCCTCCTTCCTTCTGATTATCAGAAATGTTAGGTAAACTGTACACTTTGAACAACTGTAGATAAAAGATGGCTACAGATAAACAGGTACAACATATGTAGGAGGATCTCATTCATCTCTGTGTATCTCCTGAGGCCAAACACTTGACTTGTTATATGTAAGGGTTTACAGCCACTTTAAGCAATAAATATAGGTCACTTTCCTGCCCCCCAGCATGTAAATGGGTAGAGGAGCAGAAGCAGCAGTTACCCTCTTTGCTCTCTCCTCCACTGGACACATTTGCATGCAACACACCTGATTGGCTCCTAGTGCTCCCCTCTATTTTGTATCAGCCCTAAGGCACTGCCAGCAGACACTTGTACATGGAATGGGCCGGTAGAGACCATTGTGCCCTCATATATACAGTGTTTAGTGGAAATCATGGAAGTGGGATGGCAAAAACCAAAGAAACAGATGAGTTCAGACCCGTCTAATAATTCAGATGCAAAATGTAGGAACACAAAGACCTAAATGACATTACAAAAAATGGCCACTGCCCCAGTCTATAACTGGCCTTCACAGCAAGGAGCTGAAATGAATGACATACAAATACCATTTTGGCAGATATAATATATTTCGGACAGGTCGCTCTTAGGAAGTAAACTTGAAAAAGTAACTCTAGGCATAGAACTCCATTCATTAGACTGTAATGCATGTGCTATTTGCCCTAACGATCATTATTTTCATTTATGTGACTGTTAATTCCAGCTCTCGCCGGCTCTCATTGCAGAAAATAACATTTGGGAAGGCAAATAATGATCATTATAGCTTAGTGAATTGAGCCGAAAATGTAAAATCAATCTCTGGACTCATAATGCTTTGCAAGAGACATGGTAACTGAGCCAAAGTTAGAAAATACAACCCATTTAGATTTCATTTAATGCAGAATTTTCAGTAATTTTACACGCCTGCATGCATACATTCCTGACATGTCACAATACACAGCAACAGATTCATTTTTTCAAAAAAGCTCCACCATTTATTATTAAAAAGTCACATTTGACTTCCCGGTCCAATGACTTTGCCTAACTGAGGTGATGTTATCAGTCTGCTGCAGGCAGAAGGAAGCATTTCCTCAGTCTCTTCTCCTCCTCCAGTGATCAAGCTACAACACTGGGATGTTTTTTTTTGAGCAATTCACAGGATGAGAGGATGAAGCAGGGGCTAAGTTCACACTAATCAATACCCAAATGAACCCTGCTCTAGGTGTAAACAACATTAAAATGTAAATTTTTTCAATTATGTGGAATTACATATGTACAGTTGTGTCCAAAATTTTTCAACCCCCACTGAAATTGAGTGTTTTGGCCAGTTTGACATTGCTTTGATCATTCAGTCATCTTGCTTACATTTACATTAAAGAGGCACTTGTAGGTCAGACAAATATAACATAACAGTTATAATGAAATAACCACAAATGTCTTTTCTGTGCTCAGCATTATCAGTTTTATTCAACCCCCAAGTGACATTCAATCTTAGTAGGCATCCTTTTACAGTTATAACAGCTTTTAAACGTGAAGCATAGCTTGACACAAGTGTCTTGCAGCGATCTACGGGTATTCGCCCATTCTTCATGGCAAAGGCCTCCAGTTCAGTCACATTCTTAGGCTTGCGCACTGCACACTGCTTTCTTTAAGTCCCACCAGAGGTTCTCAATCGGATTTAAGTCTGGTGACTGCGATGGCCACTCCAAAATGTTCCAGCCTTTCCTCTGCAACCATGCTCTAGTGGACTTGGAGGTATGCTTGGGATCATTGTCCTGTTGAAAGGTCCAACGTCTCCCAAGCCTCAGGTGTGTGACGGACTGCATCACGTTTCCATCCAATATCTCCTGGTACTGAAGAGAATTCATGGTGCTGAAGCTTCCCTGTACCTGCAGAAGCAAAACAGCCCCAAAGCATGATTGACCCTCCAATGCTTCACAGTAGGCAAGGTGTTCTTTTCATCATAGGCCTTGTTCTTCCTCCTCCAAACATAGCGTTGATCCATGGGCCCAAACAGTTCTAATTTTGTTTCATCAGTCCACAGAACACTATCCCACAACTTTTGTGGTTTGTCCACATGGCTTTTGGCATACTGCAGTCGACAATTCTTATTCTTTGGAGACAGCAAGGGGGTACGCCTGGGAGTTCTGGCACGGAGGCCTTCATTACGCAGTGTGGTCTTATTGTCTGGGCTGAAACTTCTGTACCCACATCTGACAAATCTTTTCTCAGTTCCTCAGCAGTCACACGGGGACTTCTCTCCACTCTACGCTTCAGGTAGCGCACAGCAGTCGAAGTCAGCATCTTCTTTCTGCCACGACCAGGTAGCGTTTCAACAGTGCTTTGCCTTGAATTTGCGAATGATGCTTCCTAAGGTGTCTTGGTATGTTTAACATCTTTGCAATCAGTTCTTATAGCCATTGCCCTTCCTGTGAAGAGAAATCACCTCTTCTCTTGTCTTCCTGGACCATTCTCTTGCCTTCACCATGTTTGTAACCACACCAGTAAATGTCTAGAAGGAGCTGAGTATCACAGTCATTTTAAAGCTGCCTAATTGGTGCTTATTATGCTTGATTGCTGCTCGGTGACATCCACAGGTGTACCTGATGGAAAGCACCTGTATGAACCTCTGTTCTTCAGAGTGGTAGTCTTTAAGGGGTTGAATAATTGTGGCAATGAAGAAACCACATAAGTTCATTTACTACTGTGTCATTTTAGTTGCATTTGGGTAGTTACAACGTCCTTGTAGGATTTGATTCTGAATACAATTCCAAATGTACACTATAGTCCCTAAACCCCTTACAGCATTGGGGGTTGAATAATTTTGGACACAACTGTATATATTCTTTCATTCATGGTGACAGCAGCTTTCACCAACAGCCACAAACAGGGGTGGACTGACAACTCATGGGGCCCCTGGGCAATAGGGGATCATGGGGCCCCTGTGTCCTTACCCACACTCAAACCACACCCAAAAAGCCTTTGAAAGGTACCAGGGGCATCTCATGGGGCCCCCTACTGACCCCGGGCCCTCTGGCAGTGCCCGAGTTCCCAAATGGTCAGTCCGCCCCTGGCCACAAATATCAAAAAGATTATTACATACAAATATGTATTGCTATAACCCAAAAGTGTTTGTAAAGCCTATTTTACAACTAAAATAATATACATGCTGTACTTACCTGCTCTGTGCAATAGTACTGGAACCTTCTTTGCTCAGTTTCCCTGCTGGTGCTCTGGGCTCCTCCTCTTCTTGGTGCATCACCGTAGGAAGCTGCTTCGTATGGGGGCACACCTGTGGGCTCGCTCCTGAGCCAGGTGGTGTGTGTCTATTGAAACACATAGCGTGGCTCAGCCCCACCCCCCACTCTTACAGGACTTGATGACAGCAGCAGGAGACAATGGCTCCTGCTGCCGAATCTGAGTAGAGAGAAGGGGCAGAGAGCTGCTGCAGATGGGCAAAGATCCGGCTCAGGTAAGTATACAGGAGGGTGAAGGGGTGATACAGCAATGGGACATTTATTTATCTTAATGCAGATAATGCATTAACCACTTGCCAACCTTACTGTCGCTGAATGATGGCTGCAGAGCAGTTATCCAGTTCCTAGAGGGTGTCCATCATGGACATCCTCCCAGAATCACGCCACCGGGGCACCCAATGGGTGTGCTCTGTGACCACTGTGCCCTTTAGGCACAGCTGATCACAGATCAGGGTAAAGGGCCAATCACAGCAACCCTTTACCAAGTGATCAGATGTGTCCAATCACAGCTGATCACATGTAAACTGGCTTGCTGGTTTGTAGCCCAAAAAGTACATTTGCCTTTTTGGGGCAGAATTGTGCGTTTTCATCCTAATTTAGTTGGGGTGCCTAAAAAATTCACCTAAAAACTAGGTTTCCATTGACTGCGAAAAAAAATTCTCAAGCCTGAAATTCACGCAAAAGTTAACAAAAATGTATTTAAAACACTCAAAAAGAACACCTGAAGAAGCTCAGCTCAAGTGTGCATGGGGGCCTAAGGCTCCATTCACACCTAGTGATTTGGAATCGCCAGCAGAATTGGTGCGATTCTGACCGTGATTCCAAACCGAGAAAAAAAGCGCCACGTACGTTTGGGTGTCATATTCTTATCTGTGGAGGAATCTGTTATGCGTGTATGGCCAGGTTTGCTCTAAGAGCCCATTCGCTCACACCTATCAGCTACGATGCATTAGAGCAGCCCATTTATTTTGAGTATGCTGCCAACCAGGCCCGGATCTATGGGGGTTCTGGGGTGGGCTGTGCCCCCCCCCAGATTTTAGTTGTACCCCCTCCAGGTCTCTAAGAGTGCATCCACTGACCCATGAGCCACTCTAATGCAGACAGTTGATATAAAGTGGCACTCTGATGAGGACAATCCATGTAAGGGGGTGTTCTGATGGGGAAACCTGATGTAAGGAGACACTCTGATGGGTACATCTAATGTAAGGGGACACTCTGATGGGGACACCTGATGTAAGGGGGCACTCTGATGGGGAGACCTGATGTAAGGGGGCACTCTGATGGGTACACCTGATGTAAAGAGGCACTCTGATGGGGACACCTGATGTAAGGGGACACTCTGATGGAGATACCTGATGTAAGGAGGCACACTGATGGGGACACCTGATGTAAGGGGACACTCTGATGGAAACACCTGATGTAAAAGGGCACTCTGATAGGGATCCTGATGTAAAGGGGCACTCTGATGGGGACACCTGATGTAAGGGGGCACTCTGATGGGGACACCAGATGTAAGGGGACACTCTGATGGAGACACCTGATGTAAAAGGGCACTCTGATAGGGATCCTGATGTAAAGGGGCACTCTGATGGGGACACCTGATATAAGGGGCACTCTGATGGGGACACCTGATGTAAGGGGGCACTCTGATGGGGACATCTGATGTAAGGAGGCACTCTGATGGGGACACCTGATGTAAGGGGGTGCTCTGATGGAGACACCTGATGTAAAAGGGCACTCTGATGGGGCTCCTGATGTAAAGGGGCACTCTGATGGGGAGACCTGATGTAAGGGGGCACTCTGATGGGGAGACCTGATGTAAGGGGCACTCTGATGGGTACACCTGATGTAAGGAGGCACTCTGATGGGGACACATGATGTAAGGGGACACTCTGATGGAGATACCTGATGTAAGGAGGCACACTGATGGGGACACCTGATGTAAGGGGACACTCTGATGGAGACACCTGATGTAAAAGGGCACTCTGATAGGGATCCTGATGTAAAGGGGCACTCTGATGGGGACACCTGATGTAAGGGGGCACTCTGATGGGGACACCTAATGTAAGGGGACACTCTGATGGAGACACCTGATGTAAACGGGCACTCTGATAGGGATCCTGATGTAAAGGGGCACTCTGATGGGGACACCTGATGTAAGGGGGCACTCTGATGGGGACACCTGATGTAAGGGGGCACTCTGATGGGGAGACCTGATGTAAGGAGGCACTCTGATGGGGACACCTGATGTAAAGGGGTGCTCTGATGGAGACACCTGATGTAAAAGGGCACTCTGATGGGGATCCTGATGTAAAGGGGCACTCTGATGGGATCCTGATGTAAAAGGGCACTCAGTTGGGGATCCTGATATAAAGGGGCACTCTGAATGTGTACACCTGATGTAAGGAGGCACTCTGATGGAAACACCTGATGTAAGGAGGCACTCTGATGGAAACACCTGATGTAAGGGGACACTCTGATGGGGATTCTGAGGTAAGGGTGGGCTATGATAAGGACATCTGATATAAGGGGACAACCCAATACATACTAGTGTTTCCCAGGTCATGACACCGTGTGACAGACTGTCAGTGACTCGCTCACTCACAGTGCTGACATTGTGCCCCCTGACCTTTTTTTACTGCACCCCCAGATCAGATCAGGCTAGATCCGGACCTGCTGCTGACGCAAGAGAGTGGATAGAAAGATGTACTTGTCGCTTTTTTTTTTGTATTACCATGCATTGCTATTTCAGTGCCGGTGCATTGGGTTTCCATTCACAATGAATAATTGCATTAATGCATGCAGATCCTCAAGGCACTGTCTGGATCCAGCCTACATATCACTGAGGACGCATGCACTTAACATAACGTGTATCTGATCCTAGCCCTAGTTTCAATTTTACCAACCTGTCAAAGTGTTCTGTTTTATCTCTTCTCATTTTCTTGGCGATCCCTGATAATATAAATGACATCCTATAGTATTCTTCACCCAGAGCTTGTCAGTTATATCGTCATACTCCTTAGGTATGAGCCCTGCAAGGCTTAAAAATCTGATATAAACACCATATTATTAATATTGTTATTATAGTCAATAAGATAGATTTTTCCATTTTTCATGACATTTGCTTTTAATATGTGGCAAGCGTAACATAAATCAGCGAGTAAACCTTAACGTATCGACGACATTAAAAAATAAACACAAAAAGCTCATAAATAGGCAAACATTTCAATAAATATAATATTTTTTAGACTCGGTTATAAATTACATTCTTCCTAAAATGTCTAATTTTTTTATAAGCTCTGTATTCCTGTTAATGGTTTGCTTACTGTAAGTTACGTATAAATTCTTACGCACCAAAAATTCAAAGACTGTCAACCTCCTCTTCAGACTCTCATCCATTATATCATATCATTGATTTGCAATATTTTTGGGGAACTTTTATGGAAGAAATGCTAAAACTGAATGTTCTATGCAGTAAAGATTAATTTCCCAGTTGTATTCAATATGAAATTGCTTTTCTACTACACCCAGTCAAAAAATGATTGGCCTATCCAATTACATTTTTCTATTATACCAAAGTTTTCATTTTTTTTCTTTTTTTTTATGATAATGGTATAGAGACATACAATTTTGTTTTCATTTTATTCTCCTTCAAGGCTTTTCACATCTAGAAGAAATATGCATACCTACTGTGTTGAAAAATATTAAACTGGTAATAGAATTGTATTATATTCCTCTAATGACTGGACTAGAATGTAAAAAGACCAATTTTAAAATATTAGGGTGAAATTGGACCTTTTATGCTAAAGGTGAGCAGAGTGATTTGGCAAAATGACCCTTTTTGTTACTAAATTAATAATAAACAATTTCAGTCATTTCAAATTAGCCCGAACAAAAATCTTTTAATAAAACAGGTGTTTTGTTGGGGGGGGTATATTTATTTTTTTATTTTAATGTACTATTTAGTTCGTATTTATTATTTATTATAATTTCTTATAATGTAGTATTATAATTCATTAAAATATACAGTTAAATAAGATATAATTTATATTATAATATATTATTATTATACTTATTATATATTAGTTTATTTAATTTAGTATTTCTTTTTCTTTTTCCTTTTTTGTGTTTAATTGATCATTATTTGTCTACTGCTTCATTTTTTTTTTTTTTTTATTTTACCTGTTTTTGCTGTTTGTTATTTTTTTTTCTGTGAAAAAAATACATAGCCTAAAGAGGGGACAGGATAGTTAAAAGAAGCTCCCGTAACCCTCAGGAGTGATTTAAAGATCACTTTTTTTTTAAATCCGCGGTGGTGCACAAAAACACGTAAGTGTACAAAAAAAGCACATGTGAAAAACTCACACAAATAATATACTTAACAGTGTGTATCTAGTCCATCTGCCCAAGACTCTACCCTGACCCCCCAGGGAGCAAGGTCTCTGACACGGGCAAGGCTCAGCTTGGTTCACTTAGCCAAAAGGCCTGGCAGAACCCTCTCCTCATGGTCAGCCGAAGCCAACCACTGAGTACTAGATGAGGTGCTCTCCCGAAAAGAGACCCCCATCCTGTTTCACAGAAGGAATGGACCTTCCCCCCCTGGAACCTGATGGCCACACATCCTCCCCCTAGGTTTCATGGTAGGTCTGAGAACCTACACCCTCCAACCAAGTGAATGAAACACAGACAAAAGTGCAAGTGACAGTAATATGAATGAATAATAAATGAAATAAATAGTGCCGGTGCAGGTTCACCCTAGAAGTACATCTATAGACCTCATATAAGCTTTTTTTTTTTAGTTTTTGAATGGGGTGGTTTTACTAGTGTCCCAAGCTTTGATATAAAGGTTTCACCTCACTTCCTGTTCTCTGGACAACATTTTACCAGATAGGAAGTGAGAGAAAATCTGCAACGGTGAGACAGAAAACAATAGAAGCTGACATGGGTTCTAGTTTTCAGCTACATAACTTGGACTTGAATAAAATTACTTCTACTGTGTTGCTCTTAGAGATTTTTCATTACTTTCTGTATTGGGGCAATCGTTTTATCAGACAGGAAGTGAAGGAATCTTTCCAACAGAGCCTCCAATAGTAACACCTTACAGGAGTTTTAATCCTTCCACTCAATCAAAACTACAAATGTTGATGTAGAGAACATCTAGAAATGTTACCTGTGTCTAAGCACAATGTACTTTTTGTCTGGAATGTCTTCTGAAAATTGGCAGTGGACTTTCTGTCATGTGAGTGTTCCTACAGCTTCATGGGTTTATATCTGCAGTGTGAGATCATCCTAGGGACTGCTGCCTCTGAATGCTAGTCTCACAAGATATGGAGTGATATTTTGGTGATGTCACTACTGTTTTACTCATTGTTCTCCTTGCTGGAGAAGAAGACGTACCTGAAGATTTGCAGAGAAAAAATCCCCCTGCTTCTGCTTTGTTCATTCTGTGGATCTGTGCTTCCTTCATCTTCTGCTGCTTCTTGACAATTCCTCCACCAGTCATCATACCACCAGTTCTTAGGGAGCAGCTTTGGCATGAGAAGGCATAGCCCTGCCTCTACCAAGATGGCTGCCTCCACATAGAACAACATTTATTTAAACAAAGTTTCCGTAGTACACCCTAATTCTGTGTTTCCCATTGACATCTGACTATAAGTTCAGGAAAATGAAAATGTTCAATTGAGTTTGTCCCCATTTTTCACCCTAAAGCAATAAGCTTTTTTGAGACTTTCTAAAGATAATTAGTAATTTTGAAATGGCGCCTATATAACTGTATTATTATCTTTGCCATGGCAGTATGTCGGCTTTAATTTGGTATTAACCCAAAAATTAAAATGTAATATATATTGCAGTGTATCAATCCTTACAGTGGTTGTAAAGGCTCAAGGTTTTTTACCTTCATGCTTTCTATGCATGGAGGTGAAAAAACCTGTGTGTAACATCCCCCCTTAGCCCCCCAATACTCACCTAAGCCCCCTCTCAATCCAGCGATGTGTTCTAGAGTCTCGACTATCCCGGGACTCCCACTAGTCATTGCCTGAGACAGAAACAGGAGCCATTGGCTCCCACTGCTGTCAATCACAGCCAATAAGTAGAGAGAGGGAGCAGGACCGAGCCTCGGCTCCATGTATGAATGGACACATGGAGCAGGGGTGCCCATAGCAAGCTGCTTGCTGTGGGGGCACCCAACAAAAGGGAGAGGCCAGGAGCACCGGCAGGGGACCCGAGAAGAGGAGGATCTGGGCTGCTCTTTCCAAACCACTGCAGAGAGCAGGTAAGTATAGACATGTTTGTTATTTTATATACTTTATTAAGTATAGACATGTTTGTTAGTTTAGGTTTTTTTTACATTTTTTACCTGGTGATCTGGCCAGTATCACACTTCCTGTCTGGAGAAGCAATGGAGACACCCCTGGACAGCAGCATTGTCAATTGGGGGAAGGGTAATGTTAGATGTACTAGCAGATTTAGATAGACTTGAATACCAAATTAAAGATTAACTCCAGCTAACAGTGTAACTGGTTACAGCAAACTGTTTTTTTTTTCCTTTTGTGGAAAAAGTTTTACATAAATTAATAAAAACTGACCATTGTCAGCACCCAAGTCAGTATTAAATGGTTAGTTCAAAAATACTTTTTTTTTCTTTTTCTATATGTGACCACTTGACCTCTGTTCTCAGATGCATAAGGGGCTTAGAGAGCTGGGGGTGGAGACCACAGGGGGTGGTGTATTAGCAAGAGGCAGAGAAACAGCATTACACTGATCTTCCCAGTGAGAGTTGTGCAGAGGAGGTGGCATGTCAGCACAAGTATTGGCCATTGAAGGACAGGCAGGCTGTGCGCCCAGCACAGCCATAAAACTGACCACACTGGGATGGATGTGCTGCCATGCCTAGCGTGGTCAGTTTACAATAGGAACGCAGAGGGACTGGCAGGATCAGCAGGTATTTCACACATAGGAAGCAATACAAAGAGAACAGAATACTTTTTATACAAGTACATTGTACAGCAGGCACATACCAGAAATATGAAATGGGGTAACAAACACTTTAAGCACCAAGAATCTGCTGCTAGTATTTCTTAGTAAGGGGCTTTCCGAGCTGAAAGCAAAAGGAAAATACATTTTGGGACATTAATTTTAACTTACATATTTGTTGAGTTTCTATTGATTAGATGTTACATCAATATTTAATGCATGGCAGAGGATTATGATTGTAAGATTATGAATTATGAATTAAACATGTTATGAGATTTATGTTGATAGTAACAGGGTCCCAAAGACAATTTATGATTTAAGGTTTAAATATTTAGGTTAATTAGTTTAATATTTACTTTTTGGTATTGTGGTTTTAAATTATTGACAGCAATGCATATTCATGTATAATTAGGTTGAATAGGCCATCCATTGTTGTGGCTTATTATACTCAATACATTTTCCTCTTTATTTAATGGGGGGTTTAGACCAGCACAAATTTCAATCTTTTTTCAGCTTTAAAGCAGAGTGTATATTCCAGTCCCACACATTGGCGACTTCAC